TTATAACATATGTAAGGAAAAGTGCACAAATCATAAGTGTATGGTTGGATAGATTTAGCTTAAAGAAAATATGCCTGTTTTGTCATTGCTCTGTTAGGAAATGAGACACTGCCAGCACCCTAGGAGTCCCTGTGTACACCCTCCAAAATTTTTTTCCAAGGGTATACACTAACCTAATTTCTAAAATCATGAGTTAATTTTGTCTGTTTTTCAACTTGAAATAAATGGAATCATGCGCCATAATATTCCACGTCTGTGTGATTCATTCAGCTGAATACGTAGCTGTAGTTCATTTGCATTAATCGAGTTCCAAGAATCCATAGTATGATTGTATCACAATTTATTAATTTTCTTTTGATGATCATTTGGGTTTTTTGAGACTAACTATTATAAGTAATGCTCCTATGAAGATTTTATGCACGTCTTTTTTGCTGAATGTTGCATTATGTATATTTAGCATTAGTAGATAACGTCAAAGTTTTTCAGTAAGGTTCTACCTATTTACATGCTCTGTAGCAATGCACGAACATTCTGTTTGCTCCACATCATCACCAACATTGGGTGTTACCAGTCTTTTCTAATTTTATCAAGTCTGGTGAGTGTGTAATGGTAATCTCATGTTGCTGGATTGTTTTCTTACCAACTCGCTTATACTGGGAACTGTTTCCTAGAAAATTCTTCCCCTTGTGGTTTCTGGCTGAAGTTGGCCAGAAGTGAAGTGGCATGATATGGGAAGGTAAAGCGAAGCAGTAGGCATTACGTTCTAAACGTTGTCATTGCTAAGAGGTGGAGGGGGGCAGATGTAGGGCTGCAGGTGCGTTCCAGTTCGTCCTCACTTTTCTGGGTACTGTGTTGAGCTCTCCTGTTCACTGTGGTTTCAATATGCATTTTTCTAAATGTTAATGAAATTGAGCATATTTTTAAATGTTTAGTGGCCACTTGTATATTCTCCTCAGTGAAATGTCTACTGTGTTGCCTAGGCTGGATTTGAAGCACTGGGCTCAAGATCCTCCTGCCTCAGCCTCCCCAGTAGCTGGGACTACAGGCGAGTGCCACCATATCAGCCTCTGTCTGTTTTGCTTTGCTTTCATTTGGGGCTGTAAGAACTTCTAGTGTATTTGGAATACAATTGTTTTGATGGTTGATATGCATTACAGATAGCTTTTCCTAATGTCTTTCACTCTCACAATGGGGCCTTTTAGTAATTAGAAGTTCTTAATTTTAATGTAACCTATTTACCAATATTTTCTACTGTTTTAGTGTTTTTTATTCACCTCAAATGCTTATCAATTATTTGTTGTAACTGAAACATTTTTCCCTCTGACTAACATTTCCTCATTTCTTCCACTTCCGCTCCCCCAGCCTCTGGTACCCGCCATTCTGCTCTCTGCTTCTATGCATTCGGTTGTTTTAGGTTCTACATATCAGTGAAATCATGCGGTATTTGTCTTTCTGTTCCTGGCTTATTTCACTTAACATAATGTCCTCCAGGGTCATTCATATTGTCCCAAATGACAGAATTTCCCTCTTTTTAAAGGCAAACTATTATTTCATTGTGTATATGTACATATTTTCTATATCCATTCATCCATTGATGGATGTCTAGGTTGATTCCGTATCTGGGCTGTTGTGAATAATGTTGCAGTGAATATGAGAGTGCAGATATCTGTTCAACATATTGATTTCATTTCATTTGGATACATACCCAGAAGTGGGAATGCTGGATCATATGGTAACTCTATTTTTTGTTTTTCTGAGGAACCTCCATAAAATTTTGTATAATAGCTGTACTAACTTACATTCCCATCAACAGTGTACAAAGGTTGCTTTTTCTCTGCATCCTCACCAATACTTGGTATTTTTTATTCTTTTAATAATAGTCATTCTAACAAGTATGAGATGATATCTCACTGTGATTTTAATTTGCATTTTCCTAATGATTACTAGTGTTGAGCATTTTTTCATATACCTGTTGGCCATTTGTTATGTGTTCATTTTAGAAGTGTCTCTTTAGGTCCTTTGCCCATTTTTTAATCAGGTTATTTGTTTTCCTGCTATTGAGTTGTTTGAGTTCCTTATATATTTTTTTATCAACCTCTTTTCTAATATTCTTCCCCAGTGTATAGGTTGTATCTTCTCTCTGATAACGGGTTTTTTTATCTGTGCAGAACCTTTTTAATTGGATGCAGTCCAACTAAATTCTATTTGTCTATTTTTGTTTTTGTTGGCTGAGATATTGGGTACAAATCCAAAAAGTCCTTGCTCAGACAAATGTATAGTTTTCACCTGTTTTCTTCTAGTGATTGTATAGCTTCAAATCTTACATGTAAATATTTAATCCATTTTGAGTTGATATTTGTATATGGTGTGAGATGAGTCCAGTTTCATTCTTTTGGATGTGGATAGCCAGCTTTCCCAGTACCATTCATTCAACAGACTATCCTTTCTTCATTGTGTATTCTTTGGCACCCTTGTCAAAAATCAATTGATGGCAGATGTGTGGGTTTGTTTTGGAGCTCTCTATTTTGTTCCATTGGTCAGTGTGTACATTTTTATGCCAGTCCATGCTGTTTTAATTGCTATAGCTTTGTAATATAGTTCAAAGTCAAAGAGTGTGATGCCTCCAGCTTTGTTCTTTTTATTCAAGAGTACACTGATTTGATCATTACCCATTGTATACATGTATCAAAATATCACATGTACCCCCAAAATAAGTACAACAATTGTATATCAATTTTAAAAGATTGCTTTGGTTATTGGTTCCATATGAATTTTAGAAATATTTTTCTCTTTCTGTGAAAAATAATAGTGGAATTTTGATACAGATTGTGTGAATTTATAGATTATTTTGGATAATATAGTTATTTTAACAATATTTTTCTAATCCATGAATATGGATATCTTTACATTTATGTGTCTTCTTCAATTTCTTTTATTAAGGTCTTACAGTGTTTAGTGTACAGGATTTTAACCTCCTTGGCTAAATGTATTCCTCATCATTTTTTCAATGTAATTTAATTTTATTTTAGCTATTATAAATGGGATTTTTTTCTTTATATTTTTAGGATAGTTGGTCATTGGTGTGTAAAACACTGCTGATTTTGTATCCTGCATTTATTGAATTCATATATTAGTTCATTACAATGGTTAGGATTTTTGGTGGATTCTATAGGGTTTTCTCTATACAAAATCATGTTGTGTGCAAACAATAACAATGGAAGTTCTTCCTTTCCAACTTGGATGCCTTTTATTTCTTTCTCTTGCCTAATTGCTTGGCCAGGACTTCCAGTATTCTGTGGAATAGAAGTGGCAAGAGTGGGTATCCCTTGTCTTGTTCCTGATCTTAGAGGAAAAACTTTCAGCTTTTCACTGTTAAGTATGATATTAGCTGTGGGCTTCCCATTTATGGCCTTTATTGTGTTGAGGTAAGTTCCTTCTATACCTAATTTGTTGACAGTTTTTATCATTAAAGTATGTTGAATTGTGTCAGCTGGTTTTTCTGCAGTGTTATTAAGATAATTGTATGGTTATCATCCTTTATTCTGTTAATATGGTATATCACATTTATAGATTTGTATATATTGAACCATTCTTGCATCCCTAGGATAAATCTTACTTGATCATAGTGAGTGAACCTTTTAATGTGCTATTGAATTTGGTTTACTCATATTTTGTTGAGAGTTTTTGTATCTATGTTCATTAGGGGTATTGACCTGTGATATTCTTTTCTTGTAATGTCCTTGTTGGGCTTTGGTGTCAGGGTTATGCTGGCCTTAGAAAATGAGTTTGGAAATATTCCCTCTTCTTTAGTTTTTTTAGAAGGGTTGAGAAGGATTGATATTAGTTCTTATTTAAATGTTTGGTAAAATTTCGCAGTGAAGCCATTAGGGTCCTGGGCTTTTCTTTGATGGAAGACTTTTATTTTTATTTTTATTGTTTTATGCATTTTAAAATGGAAGACTTTTAAATTACTGATTCAATATTTTTCCTCATTAATGGTCTGTTCATATTTTCTCTTTCTTCATGGTTCACTATTAATTTGTATGTGTTTAGGAGTTTGTTTATTTCTTCCAGGGTTATCTAAATTTTGGCATATAGTAATCTCTATGATCCTTTTCTATGTTATTAGTTGTATTAATAATATCTCCTCTTTTATTTCTGATTTTACTTATTTGAGTCATCTCTGTTTTTCTCTTAGTCTAGCTAAGGATGTGTCAATTTTATTTCTCTTTATTAAAAAAAATCTTAATTTCATTGTTTTTTTCTTATTGTTTTTCCAGTCTCTATTTTATTTATTTCTCCTTTGACTGTTTTTTTTCCTTCACCTCTCTTTGAGCTTACTTTGTTTTACTTTTTCTAGATTGTTTAGGTGTAATGTTAGGCTGTTTATTTGAGATATCTCTTCTGATGTAGGCATTTAATGCTATTATAAACTTCCCACTTAGAACTGATTTTGCTGCATCCCATAGTTTTGGTATTTTTTTTCCAGTATCATTTGTCTCCAGATTTTTTAAATTTCTCTTTTGATTTATTTTTGATGATTGGTTGTTCAAAGCATGTTGTTTAATTTCCATATAGTTTTGAATATTCCAAGATTTTTTCTGTTACTGATTTATAGTTTAATACCATTGTGATCAGAAAAGATAATTGATATGAATTCAAGCCTGTTTAATTTGTTAATACTTGTTTTGTGGCATACCATATGATCTATCTGGAGAATGATTCATGTGTGCTGGAGAAAAATGTGTATTCATTTGCTGTCAAATGGAATGTTGTTTATATGTCTGCTAGGTGTATTAGTCTGAAGTGTAGTTCAAGTGCAAAGTTTCTTTTTTGATTTTCTATCTGAATGATCTGTCCCCAAAAAAGATTTTGAAGTTGCTCTACTATTACTGTATTATAGTCTATCTCTCCCTTCATATCTATTTATATTTGCTTTATATATTTAGGCACTCTAATGTTGGATCCATAAATATTTATAATTACTATACCTTCTTGATGAATTGGCTATTTTAATATTCTATAATGATCTTCTTTGTTTATTTTTACAGTTTTTGATTTAAAGTCTATTTTGTCTGATATAGATA